TCAAGTCCATGAACACCATTCTGACATAGGTGTCTTTCTTGTGCCGGTGGGAGAAGGAGAGGTGAAGTGGAGTGGAAATAGTATCCTCGGTCGACCTGTTCGGCCAGTATGCAAACTGCAGTGGATCCAGTGAGTGGGGGAGGTTGCTCCTCATGTGTGCCATGTCTCTCGAAGCACTTCATGATGATGTGGGTCAGGGCGATGGGACGGTAAGCATTCAGGCAGGATACTGAGGATTTCTTTGGCACCGGGAAGATGGTGGTGGACTTGAAGCACGCTGGGACGATCATCTGGCTCAGTGAGGAGGCTTTCTTTGCTCGTGTGTTGTTCAGTGCATCAAACCGTGTGTAGAACTTGTTCAGCCCCTCAGGAAGTGTGGCATCTCCATCACAGCTGCTTGGTACAGGCTTGTACTACGTGACAGCCTGAATGCCCTGCACGATCTCTTTTTAACTCACAAGACAATCCTTTTGTCTCACTGTTATTAGAGTTATTGATAATAATAATAATAAGTTTGTCACGGTTTGCACTGGCAGGGAGGGAGGAAGAAGACCCAAATGCAGATGCTTGAAATGAAACTATAAGTTAACAAAAGACGAGCCGTTTATTTGTGGCTGGGAAATATGAGTATAAAATAAAGCAAAGGTGAGCAGGACGAAAGCTAAATGAAAACTTAGACTGGGAAAACTAAACTGTGGTAACTATGATAACAGGTATGAGCATGATTCTGACCAGGAACGTGCGAGAAACTATAACGAGGAAGAAATAAGAACACGAGGCATGAACACAAGCTGAGGAGAATCATGAAATACATGGATGTGATGGGAGGAAAACAGACGAGCTGAGAGAGAATGAAAGAAAACACACAGACTAAACACATACAGGAGGGAATCAGGGGGAACATCACAGGGCAAGCAAAACTAAAAACAACGAACATGGAGGTCTAAGGAGCTTCTCTCATCCGAGAAGCTTCTTCAGGACACTCTTTGAGGATGCCAATGTTCACATGTTGGACAGAGAGGACAGATGGTTTGAAAGAGGAGTGAAAGAAGCATCTATGTCCACTGTGAGCGACCATCTTTGAACAGAGGCGGGGGTTTACGACACCAACTCTCTGCCATCTATAATCCAGTTTTGAGATCCCTTCCCAGACG